TATTTGCAAACACTTTCGATATGTTAAAAAGTGTAGAAAAGAAACTTTCGATATGGTGTAATAAATGTCAAAAAAAATTTATCCTGAAAAAAAAAAGATTGCATGACATTTCTAAGGCAAGGTCACAAAGCACCATCTGTTGCACAAATGAGTGAGCTAGACTGGAAGGTACTGTGGCCTCAGAGAATACTATTTACTTTATACTAGCAGAAGTATTATAATTTTGCGTTTCTATTCTGGCTATTGTACTAACCGGGCCCCACACTTTTAAAACTATGGAGTTTTTGGGCGGTAATCACTTAACATAAGGCGAACCGAATTTATCGTTTTATCAATCTAGTTAAATCTAGTTAAATAGAGAAAAACTAGGACGTGTAAGTATTCACAATTATCTATAACCAAAATCCACTAGAAATCAAACGTTGAAGATGCCTCTGTCAAAAATAAAAGACTGTATCTAAAACTGACCGATTTAGTCCTCATTAAAGAGATATTGATTGATTCGAAAACCGCTCCTATCGCACAGTGGTAGAGATGTTATTTTTTGAATGAACGAAGTACCCCTGTTTTTTAGGATTTCTTTACTAGCATTATTTTCCATTAGCGAAGCAGATGAATTCAGAAAGAAATGGAAGGTCTTCGGCTTTGAAGGACAAAAAAACAGTTTTTGCTTTCAATTTTTTTTATAACCGCTTTTTGTTATTCGACATTAACCTTCGTCCCGTCATTTTGTTTAACAACGGAAAATTGGCCAAGCTTAGATCGGAAACAAAATGCAGACGTCACCGCGTATTTTGAACGAAACATGAAGATTGAATAGGTAAAATAACTTTTGGAACTGTGTTGGAAATTGTTCAAGCCGTGAATTTACAAATCATCCGGAGAAGAAAGCTATTTCGCAGTTGTTTTTGATTAATAAGATTTTTTTTATTATTGATTAACAGAAACTTTCAATCTATCTATTTTGATTACATTCATAAGAACACTTTACTTAAAATAGTGCCATCGATGGACTAGATGGAGTGACGATCTATACAAGTGTGCGGGAAGTCGATAGATGCATGTGGCTCAGGATCGTGCTTCGTGGCGGTCTGTCGGGGAGGCCTATGTTTATCAGTGGACTCAAACATAGAAATTTGCCTCAAAGGGTGTGAAATAATGATGACGATGATGATGAAAATAGTGCTTACCAATACACGAAAAACTTAAATCAGCGGCCCTGAAAATAGCACATTATGTGCAAATATACATGTTTGAGTCCATTTCCAGTCCATACAGCTTTAATTTTAGGATTATCATCTACTTACTTTAGTAGATGATGATCTACTAAAATTTTTGCACAAATAGGCATTCTAAGCTGGGGAGGTCTCGCGGCATCACAGAAGACCGGCGTGAAGTGGAAATAGTATACTTTCGCGTTTCGTCTGGTGAGTGAGGTCACCGGTGCTCACCTTTCTAAGATTTGCAACGCATCTGCAATCTCACGCGTTCTTGAGGTACATGGGCAGCGGTAATCGATTAACATTATGTGAACAGAATTATATTAAGATGTTTAAATAAAAAAAGAAGTTCAAATAAAAGGAAAGACAAATGAAACGCCCGTAAAGGGTCACGCTGTTTACTTATATATCCTTCTTAAGTCCCTATTCTCTGTGAGCAATGGGGCATTGGTCATAAGGAGCCGTCACACACATACACAGCAAATATAAAAAGGGATCTTACTTCACATAAGTGCGATGTGAAAAACTTAAAGATAATACGTATACGAAGAGAACTGGAATTTACATCCATAAAGGTACAACTGGGGTAATTAAAGTTTATGTCCTTCTTTCACATGAATTCCTTTAAATGGCAGACAAAATTCATGAAATTCGTTTCCTTTATAAGATCGTCAAAAACATAATACAATACGAATATCTTACAGAAATAGCATGTGTGTAAGCTCCCCCCGCCAGCTTATTGATAACATCCTACATACTCCTCGACATAAAACGAATATTTGTAAATACGCTCCTATTAACAGAGCATGCATCGAATACAACGAAATTGATAAAGAATTACCAGTTATCGATACTTTTAGTGTTCATGCCAATTTCAAAGAAAAATACGCGAGTATTTGATTAAGGGCTCGCAAAGAAGGGAAATTGCGTAGGTATTAGCATTAAGATGCGCATATTTTGGACATTGTTTATGTATTTAATTTTTTTTAGATATACAAGTAAAACATAGATTTTACTGGAAATATCTTCAATTGTAAATTTAACTTTTTAATGTTTAAAATATTTCGATATTTTTTATACTACTTTTGTACTTTTGTATGTAATGCTTTGTAGTAGTGTGTACTCACTATTACATTACCTATTTGATTTTGAGGTGTTACCTGATGTATCTCCGTTTTTTGCCGTTTTTGTGAATATCTACAAAAAGCGGAACCCTTCGTCCGCGAGGCCAACTCCGCACTTGGCCGGTTTTTTTTTTAAAAAGGATCCGTAAAAGACGGAGTTTTAAGGTAGCAAACATAAAATATCTCTATCAAATAAAGAGAAAAACAAAAAAAAACACAAATAATATGCAGCCGATTTGAGAAAATCCTTGTATTAAATCGGTTGAAAAATAAAAAAAAGTATTAATCTGGGGCAGCACGTCTTTTTTCTCCTGAGAGTCTTACAAATAGAAGATTTTATTTGTAACAAACATGACAAAAACCGACGCAAGCAACACGTTCGCGCACATTTCTATTACACATCTCATATTTTTCTTACATGCCTTTGATATCTCCAGCCTCTTGACAAATTGTATCTATTACTTTTGACGTTAAGCATATTTCCGACACTTCGCGTGTAATATAACTTACGGATGACATAATTCCCTCTAAGATGTACGAAGGCGCGTAAATTCATTTGAGGCATACATTTGTGAGCATAATCCGTGATATATAAATTATAATACATTATATTATCGCCCTTCGAGTTATCTTTCATTTGGACCCATAATAAAAATTACATATGGTACAGCTTTGCGATGGGAAAAATTTCGGTTGCTAGCTTTTAATTTCTTCCTATAGAGCAATTGAATAGGAAATCGCATGTCTGTACCCATATAGGAGTATATAATTGTCGATTGCAATTTTATATGGTCATACTTTCTACGGATATGGACGAAAGTAGGTCAGTAATTCGTGTATATAATAACAAAAATACAAATGCTAAAATAACAATGTAGAAGGAAGGCGTTAAGATTTTCGTCGCTGTAGCTATCAGCCGTTTAGCTCAGTGGCTAGAGCGTCAGGCCGCGAATGCCGAAGACGTGGGTTCGGTTCCCACAACGGCGACAATCTTTTCGTACTTTTTCTACATGTTTTAATGTTTTAAAAATGCAGTCTTCACGTCAATAATTCTGTAACTGATATAATTAGCTGGTTATAATATCGTTCATGTAATGACCAGATATCATGGTATTCTATTTCCTTAACAATTTGGTTTCTCCCTTCCAGCTGTACTTGTTGCTATTATTGGAATGGCTTTTGTTTTTGACAGCGTCTCTCGCTACAATTAATTAAACAAACAGGATAACTCCGTGGCGCAGGTGCCAAGGTATTGGCTTCGGCGTCGGGTGTCGTGGGTTCGATTCCCACACGGGACAACTATTTCTGTGACCCACAGACAGTTGCTTCCCATCAGGGTGTTTGTCCGCGTAAAATTTACGTTTCTAAAACGTTCTTACAACACAGGATAATGTTATCCCAAAGTAAGGGAAATGTTTAAAAAAAGAAAAAGAATAGTGTGGGACAAATATTTTATTAATAAGTGTGCAGGAATGGAACCCACGACACTCCCAGTAGTTATTTAATTGGGCACTCCTTTAAAAGTTAAACTCAGCCTTTAATCCCGGATAAAGATAAATCCGTAAGGCCGAACCCGTAAACTCTATTGAGTAATCGTAATAAATCTCGATTACACTTTAAAAGTTACGATTGAGACTGTACCTCCGTAACCAGTTTTTCATTGTTTAATCAAACGAAAAGGAGAATTTGTTTTATTGGCTATTGAATGTATTTTGAATTAACCGTCGTCAACAGGTAGTCCTCCCCAGACGGTGTGGCGTGTTCCCAACAAATAAATGACAATATTAGAATGTTTATCAATCTTTTCGTACTTTTTCTACAAGTTTTAACTTTTAATCTTAAGTGCAAACATTAGAACTATAAAAAACTTCAAATGTTTATTTTCTTTAAATTCAACTCTTACCATCACCTAAATTTATGACGAATTTGCTAAAATATTGGCTTCGGCCTCGGAGCTCGTTGTTTTTAATCACAAACGGAGCAAGTAATTGTTCGATCGACAGATAATTTTGCGGGATCTAGTGTTTGTTTCCAAGGAGTGTTAACATTAAACAGAAAAATGTAGCCAATACCAAAACATAATTTAACCATTATTTAAATTGATTGGATAGATAATATCAGATACTAATTCAGGTTGATGGTGTTGGCGATGCGCAGATATTTAAATCATGATAAAGGCAGGAGGATAATGACCTTATCCTTTAATGACATGAAGCACGTACCCTATAAATATAACCATAAATCCTTACTTCCTTACTTTCTTACAAATATTAAAATCCCTAATTTCTTACTATCCTTACTTCCTTACTATCCTTACTAATATTATAAACGGGAAAGTTTGTGTGTGTGGACGGATGTTTGTTACTCTTTCACGCAAAAACTACTAAATTGATTATAATGAAACTTTCCAATAATATAGCTTATAACATCAGAATAACACATAGGCTATAATTTATAAAGATATTGTGTGAATTGTCCAAAGTGTCAACTAAGTAAGAAAAAATTCAGCCATCTGCGAGATATTCTGATGTATAATAAAAACTCATTGTTAATTCCCTTTGGCCACGCGGGCGAAGCCGCGGTTAACAGCTAGTATATGTACAAAACTCTGTGTTCTCACCGCACGTCCGTTTCGCAGGGGTGGTGTTAGCCTAAGATGGTGTTGGCGCTGGTGGTCGCAGCCCTGTGCGTGTGGGGCCGCCTGAGCGTCGCGAACCCTGAGGCCAAGCGGCTTTACGACGACCTACTCTCGAACTACAACCGTCTCATACGGCCCGTCGGCAATAACTCGGACCGGCTAACCGTCAAGATGGGACTGCGGCTCAGCCAACTGATCGACGTTGTGAGTATTTTATGATTGTATTGTTACCTCAATGATTGCGCGAGACATGTACACTAAGTCACCGCCATGGAGAGAATGATAAGACTGACTCCATTACTATTCGGAACGCATAGCTATGAAGAGACACGTTAGACACGTTAGACGAGACTATGTTATACGGTGCTAACTCTACATAATGAATAATGAACAAATGAAACTATTGATGTTAAAGTGGTATAAACTTTTCGTCGTGTTTATCAAATGAATAAACATAAAACTGTAACAGATTCAGTCGTCACAAATTAATGAATTCTATTTGAATTCGTTTACCCCGTTTAATGGGCGCCGTACATTAAATACTTTTTATAACAGCATAAAATCTAACCCTCCATTACGACCCGGAGAGTCCGATTTAATGTTGTTACGAAATTCGATGGAATAAATTACGATCAACGCAACAACCTTCCGCGCCAGAATAGTTACGGAGTTGTAACGGAAAGGATTATCCTAACAATCTTAAAAGCCCTTCATTAAAAAGGGTCCCACCTTTATCACCTTCACCACCTCTGATTCGTTTGTTTCGGACTTGTTAGAACTTTCCACTCAGTGGATTATGACGAACATCTAGAATGTTACTTACATTCATCACAGCTCTCTTTTAATGATGATGTTTGATTTGTTTTATGTTAGAAAGTGGCAAACGAGCTGGCGATTCACCTGATGTTAAGTGATAACGGCCTGCCCATGTATATTTGCAACACCCGTAGGGTTGCAGATGCATTGCCTCCTCTTAATAACGTGGGTCCCGGTTATCTCACTCACCAGACGAGACGCAGAAGTGCAACACTTCTACTTCACACCGGTCTTCTATGAGGTCGTGATACCAACCCGGACGGACCTGCCCATTCGTGCAACAGCGAACGCTGTTACGTAGCCCTACCACCGTAAAAACTAGTTATAACTTTAGTAACCTCTGCGACTTTTTGATACAGTGCCGTGATCAATCACCGCATGGTAATCCTCCTTTACAATACAACTGATAAGTATCTATAAATTGAAGGTATCTTATTGTGTGGGATAGACCACGGTATCATTAATTTAAACATTCTTTTTAAACGAAAGTTGACTTTATGAACTTTCTTTCTGTTGTTCTTTCTGTTTGACGGTTTTTCGATAATAGCGGCAACTCCACTTAAAAGCTAACTGCTACTATAATTTTTTTTTTCATTTACAGAGTGCTATTTTAGTCTTTATTTATTTGATATAAAATTGTTTCAAAGATAAGTGTAGTCTGTTCAAACTACATTTCGTAACGATTCCGCGTTGTTTTCGCATAGCGAAAACCTTGATGGAAGAACAAATACAGTAAGCCGGGACAATTAATTTAGAGGTAGTGTGAACACTGGCTTATATGGTTTGATGAGGGAGAGCTAAAAACGGACTGGGCTAATATGGCTTGATGGAGGGGATGTAGAGACACACTGGGTGCTGGTGGTGTGATCGATGCACGATTTTTTGTACAAATTTCTTGTTAGGCACGTGCACAGTACAGGTTCCTAGTGGCAGGCAAGTGCCAAGAGGCAGCCAAGTGTTGTTTACCTAACATAGGTGCCGTCATATTTGTAACGTACATTTATTTATAAGTATATTCAAGTGGGTTCGTCAGTTACCTATAACACAAACTTTGAGAGCGGGTAACGTTGCATTAAACCCTTAAATATATAGTTTAGATTAAATATGAAATTTAGGTTTTCGATAAAGTTGAACATTACTTTAATTAATGAATTAAACGTATTGTGCGCTATTCAACAGTAACTAGCTTCAATGCACTACGTTACTACAATATAAAAAACACAATATAAAAAGATATAGTAATATATATATAGATCAATACATTATATTTAATCATAGCTCAAATGAAAAGTTCATTTCAAGTATAATAATTCTATTAAAACCATTAGAAGGTACGTCGTAATAGCGAAATTTTCACGTATTATGTTCACAATAATCATTACAAAACGTATTATGATCCACACGAGGTAATTTCATTAAGAAGACCGTTAAATCAGCGATTCCATTGCGACGCCGCCGAAATTTTCACTTTGCCGGGAGCAAACCGAAATGAAACCGTAGGGTTCGCCGCGGATCGTTCAAATTGCATTGCGCGGTTAGGAGTTATAATGCTCGGAATTTTACTAAGGCAGATGGCGCCGTTACCGAAAAGTGAATTCCAGCTGAACCACTCATATGTAATTGTTCCCGTTACTTCTGCAGCACCTTTGCGCCTTCAAGCCGCTTGGAAATTAGACTCCAGAGTTCTGATAGACCATTTAATTTTACCCTGTTTAATATTTTCATAATATGAAACTGATTCTTCAACCGACCTCAAAAAAGGAGGAGGTCCCTCAATTCTACTGTATTTTTTTTATGTTTTTTTTTGTTTGGAAGCTTGTGCTTCCCATGTGGTTCGATATTGATTTCATTGGTATTGGAAATTGGGCTCCGGAGAACTCCTCAAAACAATATTTTTATTAACGAAGAATAAAACCGACTTCAAATATCTCGCTCTGTATTAATTTTATAATTGATTTTCAGGAGTTCACCAAGCACCACCCACAGAGTACGTCTTTGTACTTGTGAACCACAAATAATGGATTTCGGCAAATGTTTCGATAATTACGACGAAATGAGCAAAAGGACCTTTTGAATGTATCAAACTGGAGATTGGTATTGTTTTCAGTATTAGATTGACACGATGAACAAATAATCTAGTAAAACGGGCGAATATTTACTGAATACACTTGGAAAATCGACAATGCGCGGTAATATCTGAAATCTATTTAAAACTATTTCATACTGTTCCCACGGTAGTAGCTTGTATCAGATATGGTAAAACTTGAAAATTAAAGTAAAGTATCAGTCTATAAATGTCCCACTGGTGGGCAAAGACCTCAGATATCAGAAACCCCACTGCGGCGGACTTCAAATATTTTCTAAAGTTTTTTTTTGGTTATTTGTTCTATAATATGCAGTCAGCACTTAAAATTAACAATTTCATTGACGCCGATACCGGGAATCGAACTCAGGTTGCTCTAGTAAATTTATTTAAGAGCGAGCACCCGGTCACTGAGCTATCACGGCTGGTAAAGTTTATCAGATATATCAAGAAGGTAAAGACTGAAGATCCACGCTCTTCAGTCTTTACCTTCTTATGCCTACATGTCATTTATAATTAAAATTAGTTAAAGTAGCACCAGAAGAATCACGTTATTTGATAATAATAATAATAATAGGTAGTTCACTTTCTGGCGAGATCGGATGAATCAAGCTACACGGACGTCATTAGTTGTGATAAAGGACATACCCCTCTATCATTAGCCAACGAGCAATGGCAGGACCCGGGAGTACTTAGCGTTTCCGACCGAGAGACCGTGTGGAAGGAGAAAGAGCTCCACGGGAGGTTCTACAAGGCTCTACACGCGCCTTTCGTAGATACCGTTGCCTCCCTTAACTGGCTACGTTTCGGTGACCTCTTTGGGGAAACCGAAGGTTTTGTCTGTGCAATACAGGATCAGGTTATTAAGACGAACAACTATCAGAAATAAATCCTAAGGGATGGCACCGTCGACATCTGTCGAGCTTGTCGTTATCCCGGGGAGTCGCTTCGGCATGTTATTTCCGGTTGTTCCATGCTTTCTAACTCTGAGTATCTGCATAGACATAACCTAGTAGCCAGAATCCTACACCAGGAGCTCGCTCTGAAATACAGCCTCGTGGATCGGAAACTGCCGTACTATAAGAACTCTCCGGAGGCCGTGCCCGAAAATGACCGCACCAGGCTCTATTGGGACCGGTCCATCATCACGGACAGGACGATTGTCGCGAACAAACCTGACATCGTGGTGATGGACCGGGCACAGTGGCGGGTATTTTTGGTCGACATTACCATTCCATATGACGAGAACCTCGTGAAAGCCGATATGAACAGATAAGAAGACAAAGTATCTGGACCTGGCTCACGAGGTGACCGACATGTGGGGTAGTGTGCCGACCGAAATTATCCCGATAGTCGTGTCTGCGAATGAGTTAATCCCAGTCAGCCTCTCTAAACATCTGAGGCGACTGAGACTCCGGGACGGATCGCTCCAAGCTCAAATGCAGAAGGCGGTGCTCCTCGATACCGTCCGCATCGTCCGCCGGTTTCTCTCCCTATCGCCCCAACCCTCGGCCGTTTGGTCTCCCCTGCCGAGGGCTTCCGTCTGGTTGGGTCCTATTTATATATGTATTATATACAACATTTATATGTATATGTTTATTTTTATCCATAGTATTTATTTTATATATGCAATATGTATCTATATTTTTATTTTTATTTATAAACCCAACCAGACGAGAAAACAATGAATATCCCCCCAATAATAGGTAATAATGATAGGTAGTTATAAAAGAAATAATGAATAATTTGTTTTATTTATATCGTAGGACTGTAAAAAGAAGACTATATGACATATTATACTATTAGTACTGTTTAATGGTCATACATCGACATATTAATAAAAATCTTCCTGCCTATCTGGTTCTGCATTTTAAGCAGTTGTGCACTGGTCCGATTAACATTTTTTTTTAAATATGGAAACAGGCTATTTTGCCAAGTTTATTCAGTAATTAAATACGTCCAGACAGAGATAATAGACGGTAAAATTTACACGTCGCGTCCGCTCTAGCGTAGGGAAATCTATTTAAACTTTCTAACAAACGAAAACCAGAACTGATTTAACTAAGCCTGCAATTTTGCCTGCATCCCCAATGCAAAATTGAATTTGGAACCAAAATTCGTTTCAATTGCTCTATTTTCAATTTAAACGCCAATAAACGTTTCGAAGTGCATATTTGAAATGTTGTTATTTCAAATATTCATTTTTCAATTCTTTGAAACTGTTTTGGCCGATATAGCCGTAGGTACGCTACATGGCCAGTGTAATATTGTATAATTTCATTGAAAGGGTGAAACATATTTTAAGTTTTCTTTACTGAAATATAACTCGTAGTCATAGTATCTCTTCTCATAAACTTGTTTCTCTATTTTATTATTTTGTAGTTATTTATGGAATAAAAAAAATTTACATTATTTTTTAAATTCTCTTATAAATTCCACAGAGCATTGGCGGACTTCACATATCTTCGGATTTGTTTTTTGTCATTATTTCGAAAATATACAGATTCACTCTGGATGTTTATTGTCACCGCACAGCACAGCACTTAAAATTAACAATTTCATTGGTGCCGACACCGGGGATCGAACCCAGGTTGCTGGATTATATGGAATTAAAAGAGAGTGCCCGTACAATGACTATCATATAATAAGCTAAATTGACCCTGAATTAGTTAATGCAAGCGATACAAGTGGCGGCCGCTAGCTAAAACAATTAATAATGTTTGATACTTAATAAAACAGTCCTCAAAGCCGACGTCTTAATACAGTATCTGAATAGAGCGATTGGGTGGAAGAGGTTTGTAGGTCGATCGGCGTGGCTGATTATTCTGAGCATGACTCAAGACTGGCATTGGTAGGCAACAGATGAATCTCGTGAAGTTATTGAAAGATCTTATTGATGAATGCTGTCGCGGTAGCAATACCAATACCGACGAAGTGCTCGTTTCTGATAACTTCAGAGTAGATTGTTAAGGTTGTGTTCAATTTATTAGAATCGGTGAACATCCATGCTGAACATATCCATAGCCGAACTTAAGTGGAACGTTCACTCAAATTTGGCTATCGATTCCTATGCCATCGAATACGGGCGAATTTATTCGTGTATCTTAATTATAGTAATATATATTTATTTTACCACTAAAGAAAAGGGATCAGCACAATAGAACCTAAAGTCCAATGTATACTAATCTTCACTTTGTACTACTTAATATTAACTGCATAACACAAGCGAATTTCACCTCAACGTAACTCAAAGCACACAATTAATATTACCCGTTTCCAATATATTCAAAGGCTACAGGAGTTTTGGAGATTTCTAAACAAGTAATCATACATGTATTCATACGTATGTTAATAACATAACGCTATTACAAGCTCAAAACAATATATATATATATATATATATATATATATATATATGTATATATATATATATATATATATATATATATATATATTATATATATATATATATATATATATGTATTATCGCAGTGATTGTATTTTTCTTATAGGTAAATATATAATGGTATACCTATACGAAAAAGACAATCACTGCGAATTCATATGCCAAACACATACCAAGACGAAGAACCCAACATTCTGTGTGCCGAAAGCTAATTTTTTTTAACCGTCCTAAGCCCTCCCTGATTGGACAGCTCAAAGCCGTCCAATCAGAAAGAGCTTTCGTTTTCAAAACGATCTTGTGATTACTTGGTCAACATTGGCCCAGTTACAGTTTTTCTCATCGAATGCTAATGCAAAAGTGATTGGGTTTTTAGCAAGGTCTGTATTTTCTTTCTTTTTTTGGTATAATTCAATTATAAACCTTTTTCTTGGTGTTGCTTATAACATGAATGCAAATTATGTGCATAGTAATTTCTGTATTCATCAACATCATATCAACATCAACAACATCATATCATGTGTAATATAATATATACGTGCAAGTATGTGTATAAAATTATAATTATATATATTTATGATGAAGTAAATTTAGTTTTGCCATATTCTTTATGATAGACACTAAAAATCTTATTTGTCATTTTAGCGTTACTATCCGTAACTTGTACTCTACCACCAAAGGTTAACTGGAAGAAAATGCTATTTAGCATTAAGTTCGCCTTTGTATAAACTTCTAGTACAATAAAGAATATACAAACAAACAAACAAACAAACATCTTATGGATAGTTTAATTAAAGTTAAGCATTACCTCTGGATATGAAACTAAGCAAAGCATATGGCTGTTCACCTGATTTTGACATCGTATGAAGCGTAAGTTTGCTGATGCGGTTACCACCTTTTAATAAAGTAGACTTTAGGGTTTCGTACTCAAATGGGACCCTATATGTCCTACTGTCTGTATGTCCGTCTGTCACCAAGCTGTATCACATGAACCGTGTTAAACAATTGAAGTTTTCACAGTTGATGAATTTCTGTTGCCGCTATAATAACAAATTAAATAATATTTAAGTAGGACTCCCATACAATAGTCTTGATTTTTTTGCCATTTTCATAGATTATGGTACGGAACCCTTTCAGACTCGCACTTGGCCGGTTTTTATAGTAGTTGTGTACAAACACATACTG